GCTAGCTCTCTGCTTTCTGATCCACCACGATGTGTGGAGCAGCCACCATATGCTCCTACCACAAGGACGTCCTCCGTACCCTCCCCACCATGAGGGACTGTATCTCTGAAACTGTGAGTCCAAACAAATTCTTCCTCTCTTAAGATGTTTCTGTTGGGTTTTTAGTCACAACAAGAAAGGAAACTCATACACCCTGCATTTACCAGGGGAGTGCTGGTACCATCCACCCAGGCGGTTCTTTCAGCCCAGTACCCTTCAGAACCGGAGGAAAAGCCTACAATCTCTCTAGGTTTTTGTGGACTGGTACACCAACTGCTCCCAACAGAGAAATGTCAGGACTCTAGGGGCAGCATGGGAATGGCCAAGACAAGCAGGACAGCCATCTCTCTAAAGAGCTCAGATCAACCACAGGGCATTGCTAACTTTTTTGGTCAAATCTACAAAAAAACAGGTGATGCTTTCTTGCATATGTATATGTGTCTAAAAATAATGTACAATCTAAACAAAATTAAATTCTCATTTATTAGAAATTATTTACTACATAGATATCAGTGGAATGATTTGCTGGATAGTCTATTTTTCTATTCTGTTAACTGTATTTTCATCATTAGTAGAAAAGCTGGTAAAGATCTGATAAATCCATAGGGCCTTCGAACACAGGTCATCATGTAGAATTTGCAAAACATACGGGGCTATATAGCCAGGTCTTTAAGAAATCAGGCCACTCACAGGGTGTAGAAGGGATGCCTAAAGGGATGCCTCAGTGCATGGTGCCTGCCATCTGTGAAAAACTGAGGAACAGTAATGACTGATACAGGCTGCCAGCTCTCCCCAAGCTGACCTAGAGAGTCAACTCAATCCCAGGCAAAGTTCCAGCAAACTATTTTTGAATATTGACAAACAGATTCTAAAATTGATACAGAAAGTAGATTCCCTCCAATCTAGAATAGTTAGTTGGAGGAAAGCAGTAGGCTCTAATTGCCTAACTTTAAAACACACTATGAAGCTACAGTTATCAAGACAGTGTGGTGTGGCTAGGAATCTAGTCAGATACCGCCAGGTTTCAAAGTTGTAGTCAGTAACTTATGCCAGGAAACTGCAGGATTCAGATTATTAGCCAGAAGAATAGGATTTGAATACTAACTCTGGACCTGGGTAAAGACTTGATGTTCTAAAATGTTAAGAGAATTATAGGAGCTCTGCCCGGACCTCCTGAAGGAGACAAGATCTCATGTAGTTCAGGTTTCCTCAAACTCACTTTGCAGCTGAGAGCAACCTTGAGCTTCCTGGTCCTCCTGCCTCCATCCCCCAAGTGCTGGGATTACAGGTGTCTGCCACTGTGCTGGTTTTCATGTGGTTCTGGGGACGGCACCCAGGGATTTCTTCATGGCAGGCAAGTGCTCTACCAATGGAATCCCATCCCCAGGCCAAGATTGTCGTCTTGGAGGATTTCAGGTAAAGAGCAAAGAGGTGCCACTGTCCACTGTCCCCTTCCTTAAGGAAGAGAGGCGGGTAACAGGACACACACACATGTTGTGAAGGAAGTGAGGGAAGATTGGGGGTGGGGAGGTGCAGGGTGTGGGGGAGAAGGAAGGAATATCAAGAAAAACAAATTATGTCTTAAAATGCCTTACTAATCCTATCGTTTTGAACATTAACTAAGAAAGGAAACAAAATATTAATCCAAATGGCCTGCCAAACACCCAGACAGGTAGATGCCCTCTAGGAAAGCTGTATGTTCTAGAGGTTTTTAAGTAAGATCATAATGTCTACCTCAACATGTAGGTTAGCACAGCGGTCTCCCTGGCCATGTTCTCTGTCACACTGTAAGAACATTTTCCTGTTCAGTGGTCCCTGTGGACTTCATTAAACATAATGTCTGTTCTGCTAAAGGCCCTGTCGAAAAGGGGAGAAGATAACCCACACACTAGGAGAGAATTATTTGCAAAAGATACTTTGAATAATGAACTACCTAAAATATGCAGAGAACCCTTAAAACCCAACCAAAGGGACACAAAGAACCAATTTAAAAACAGGCAAAACCCAGCTAGACAAATGGCTCACTGGTTAAAATCCCCGGCTGCTCTGGCAGTGAACCACATGGAGCAGTTCAGAACTGTGACTCCAGTCCCAGGGAATCCTCCACTGTCATCCGCCCTCTGCAGGGACCAGGCATGCTTGTGGTACCCTTACATACACGAAGGCAACACACACATGAAATAAAAATAAATATGTCAATACATCTTTAAACTAGAAACAAAATCCCCAAACACTCCTTATAAATAAAATATACAGATAGAAAATTAACATATTAAAAGACACTCCATCCACATCACCTGCCATCACAGAAATGCAAATTAAAACAGCCACTATACACCTATTAGAATAGCCAAAACAATCAAAACACAGAGAGCACCGAATGCTGGAGAGAATGTGGTACAACCGGACTTTATCAGCTTCTGGTGAGAACTCAGAATGGAGCCGTCACTCTGGAAGCCACACTGTGGCATTGGCTTCTGACAAAACTGAACTTTCCCACTGTGCGAGCCTCAGGCATGCTCCTGGACACTTAGGCATGCCTAAACCTGCACATGGCTGCTTAGAGCTGTTTTTTTTCCTAAGTGCCAGAACGTTGAGGCAACCATGGTGAGACATAAGACCCTCACTCTGCAATGACAAATTCAAGACACTGGAGACAATGAAGCCGTTTTTATTTTTCAGTTCTGTAGAAACTGCCATCGGCCTAGAGAAAAGGCAAAAATGGCTAGCACCACTGACTTAGGGCACACAATGGTGTTTAAAGTCCCTGACCGCCAAAGCTTCCTGCCTCCTTTGTCCCAAGGTCTGGTACACCAGACAGCTACAATCTCCCTGCTCATTTAGCATACTCCTCACTAAATTTTCCACCCTAGTGGTTCAGGAGGCAAAGGTTTAAGGTATATCCAGAGATTTAAAATTCCTCCCTTTTTTATTATCACTCAGCCATATAGCAGGCTCCCTGTAACTTTTCAACCCAGGATAAACTGCCAACATCTAGACAAGCTGGCACCAGTGGCCAGCTAAGGGGAAACAAGGGCACAGTGCTTCCTACTTATCTATGATTGTTTAATGAGCTCTAAACACAGCTCATATTGAAAACAGATCAAAATGATTTATTTCTTACAACCATGATATCCCTCAGTAGGTAAAAAGATAATCAGTGGTATATCCTGATAGTGAACTGAAATATTACACAGCACAGAAGAGCAATGAAATACCAACCATTAAGAGACACAGAAGTTTAAATGCCTATTACTAAATGCAAGAAGCCCTATGGTGTGATCCCAATTTTGTGACATTCTGGAAACGGCAAAACTATAGAAATGATGAAAAGATTAGAAATTGTCAGGGGCTGGGGGAGGGAGGGAGGGGTGAGCAGCTGAGCACAAAGGAGTTTTAGCGCAATGAAACGACCCTGTGTGATTCTGTCATAGCAGGTGCATGGCATTAACTATTTGGCCAAAGCCACAGAATGCACACCACCCACAAAGAGACTTAATGAACACACTGGCCTGCGGTTGATAGTGTCTCAACGTGGGCACACCGGCAGAAACAACTGTGCCACCGTGGTAGAGGATGTTGGCAATGTGGGAGGCTGTGTGTGTGTGGGGGAAGGTGCTAGGTGGGAAATCTCCATAGCTCCACCCCAATTCTCCTGTGGACCTAAAACCACTCTGGTAAATAAATGATTCAATTCTAGAAAAAGAATTGATCATGGTTTTTTTTCCCTAGGGAATGGAAAAAATGCCAGTTAGCTAATCCACCAATTAGACCCTCTGTTCTCAGAGTGTAGGAGGTCTCAAAGTCATCAGTTCCTATAACACTTTCTTGTCCCACTACCAAGAGAAGCCACTTCCCTATTAACAGTGGCCCCACTGGCGCCCAAACTCTAACACACATCTTCAGCCCACCTTAACTAAACCTTTAGTCCATCACCTGACAGGTCCTTTTCCACCTCATCTCTTCCTCAAAACGTGGTTTTGATTTTAAAGCATTGCTAAACAAAACTTGCTAGGACTCAACTTGGTGTGTGAAGGAATGGCATGAATCAGCCTGTCTTAAAGGTTTGCTTTCTGAGACAATGTGCTCGCTGTAGATTAGGAGATTGAACTGTAAGCAATGTTGCTGGTGAGCATTGAGAAATGAGCAGATGTGAACCTGATAGGGCCAGGCACTCCCCAGCTTATTCTTTGAGACAGGGTCTTTCACTGAACCTGGAGCTTCCCGATCCACATGCTTCTGCCCCCCAGAACTGGGACTGTGGGCACACACTTCTGTGCTTGGCTTTCTACATGGGTGCTGGGATCTGAACTCTTGGGTCCTCATGCTTGCCTGACAAGCACTTTCCTGACCAAGTCATCTCCCCAGCCCCTGTTTTTTGATGATAAAAGGTTTAAGATTTCAAAGCTTAGACCGTATGAACAAAACAAGGAGAACAAAGAAATGGCTGAGAACTGCTACAATTCCACTCTTCGCCTTTAGACACTCACCCTCGCGGAGCTTTACTGAGTGTGTGTGGAGGTCAGAGCCTGAAATTCAGTGTCTCCCCACCATCACCCTCCACTATAGACATCAAAGACCTCTCACGTGCACTCGGGACTTCCACTAGTCCATCTAGCCAGCTAACTCCTGGGACCTCCTGGTCCTGCCTCTCTCCCACTGAGATTATAGGCAGGCCGCCACACCCGCCTGCGTTTACATGGGTTCTGGGCTCTGAACTCAGGTCTTTGTTCTTGCATAGCAAGCGTCTTCCCAGATCAAGTTTTGTCTTTAGAGAAGGGTCTCGCATAGCACAGTCTGATCTCGAAGCCATGATCCTTGCGTCTCTGCCTTCTAAATGGAGGGATTACAGGCATGCACTGCTACACACACCCTCATTTTTATTTTTAAAGCTCTTTCAGATCATTCTTATAAAAGCTCTGGGTATTTGCAGTTTAACAAACAGTTAATATTATTCTTACCTGATGCTGATCATCAGAATTTGGTGGGCAGCTGGAACTGACTGTATCACACTCCTTGGCTGGGGGGGCAAAAAGAACAATATACAGCTTGATAAAGAAAGCACACACTCCAGTCTAAGACCTAAAATTTAACTCAGAATTAAATGCTGCCTTGACATCTGGTAAAAATTGGGATGGATCTGCATGAGCACAAGTTCAGGTCCCAACTCTTCTCTCCAGCCACACAATGTTCTTCTTAGGGGGAGGGATTAAGCATGATTTTGCTGATTTTGGAGAAGAAGGGTTCCTTTCACTGCCAACAAAGAATTATTCAAACAAGGCAGTAGTTTTTCCAGGGGAACCAGACACCCCACCCTGTAGATCCCACAGAACTTGCCTCTCACAGTCTATACTCCCTCAACTGTCCCATGTTCCTAAGTGCAACCTGGTGTGGCTCTGTACACTGTGGGGTGTCCTTGTTTCCCAGGCTATATGTGACTCCATAGCTGCACCCCATTTCATCTGTCCAGGGCCAGGCACCATGTGTTTGGCCAGCCCAATAACCTTTAGAGTAGCATCAACAGGATATAGAGAAGGCGAGCAAAACTACTTCCTGGTCAATAGAGTGGCCAGGCCATGGTCAAAGACATTTGGTGAGAATGAATTATATGTTCTTGGTTAACGACCTTCATTGGTGACGCCTGCCTGGGGTGGACTTGAACTTAGCCTGTGTGGCTCAATGAGGCCATCTCTTGTCCCAGAATGAAAACTATTGCTAGGTGGCTAGAGAGGAGAGTGGCTGGCAGGTTAGTCTCTGGACACCCACTTGTCCTAGCAGTGAGAGCATTGTACCCTGGCTGAGTGCCCCTTGGGTTCCACCGACCAAGGGGATCCTTTGGTGCTTCGTGTGCATGGTGACCACGTGGGCCACCTGAGCTTGGGTCTGTGCTAAACGTGATCTGTGGATGTACGGCAGCAGCACAGATGAAGTGTGGCTCTTATGGGGCTTCCAGAAGAGAAGGCACTCTCCACCCAGGGAGAGTCCTGTTCGGCACCTTGGTTGATGTGATTCATCAACCTACCCCTTCACTGCTGTTCTCCTTACCACTGCCTATCTTTCCCTTGACCACTAAGGGCATTGAAGTGGCAGGCAGGGTAGGCTGAGGCCCCGGTGCCTATCAGAACAGTAAGGAGGCGGAGCATTGGGTACTTATTGCTCTCCCAGCCAGTGAACCTGACTTTGCTCAGCATTGCTGCTTCCCGTATCCAAAGAGTGAATCTTGCCATCAGGGAGTTGGATGGCCCCACCCAGGCTGCAAACAAGAGCACTCAACTGGATGGAGTCCAGACCCCCAAGAGATCCATGACTAGTCTGGAGGAAAGCCCGTCAAGGGCTTGTTTAATTTGAGCATTCCTTACAGCAGGCTACGTGCGTGATGCTGAAGTTGTAAAATGAACATTCCAGAGGCTGGGAGAAAGTAGCTCAGCAGCAGAGTGTTTGCCTGGCATGCACAAGGGTCTGGGTTTGATCTCCAGCACCACAATAAAAAAATCAAATGACGTGTATATTCTGGGTGCTTAAAATAACAGCTAAGTTCAAATTCCTTGGGCTAGGGATGTATCTCAACATTAAAGCACTTCCCTAGCATACACGAATGCTCAGATTCATGAAAAGAAAAACCGGAATCAATCTATATCACTTTTCTTTGCATTTTAATTTTTTAAACTATTTTATTTCATTTCGATTTATGTGTATGTGACTCTGTGTGTATGCGTGGGTGCCCTCAGAGGCCAGAAGAGAGCATTGGATCCCCGGGAGTTACAGGCAGTATGCGGGTCCCAGGAGCCAAACTCAGGTCCTCTGGAAGAGCAGTAAGTATTCCTAAGCACTGAACCGTCTCTCTAGGCCCTGCATCTTCAATTTACTCTGACATTTTTGAACAGTAGAAGAGAGGCACTCCAAAGAAAATGGTAAGATTTTGTATGTATGTATGTATGTATGTATGTATGTTTGTTTGTTTGTTTGTTTTTTCAGGACTGCGGGTTGAACTAAGATCCTCATACATACTTTGCAGATGTTCTACCATTGAGCTTGTCTCTGGGCTCCTTTTTTACTCTGGTGACAGGGTCTTACTAAGTTGCCTAGGATGGCCTCATTCTGTAGCCTAAGCAGGCCCTGAACTCCCCATCCTCCTGCCTCAGCCTTCCTCCCAGTAACAGGCCTGTACCTTGATATACACGAGGGCTTGTCTGTGTACGGTTGTCTTCTGCTGTGAATACTCACTGAAAAACCAGGACTGTTTTTTCCCAAACACGTTTGCAAATGTCACAGGAAGACACATCCTCTTCGGGATGCTCAAGTTAGCTGTTTCTGGGAGAAGTCAGGAGATGTGTGATGGAAATGTAGTAAGTTCCTGTAATGAAGCTGAACAGCTTCATCATCAACTTGACTGAATTACAATAACCATAGAAACACACCTCTAAGTGTATTTATGAGAATTTGTCTAGAAAAGTCTGAGAATAGCCCTGAATGTCGGCAGTACTACCCCATGCGCTGGGGTCCTGGACCAAAAAAGAAAGGAGAAAGGAAGCAGGCTCAGTGCCAGAATTTTTCTCTCTGCTTCCTGACTGCAGATGTAATGTGACCATCTGCCTCACGTCCCTGTGAAGGATTGGATCCTGAAATTTTAAGCAAAGTAAGTCCTTCCTTAAGCTGTTTTTTTTTTGGGGGGGGGAGGTGTCAGGGATTTGGTCTCAGTAACAAGGAAAGTAACTAATCCATGAGGATCTCACACAAGTCAAACACCTGCAGGATCATAGTGGAGTTCTGGAGAAAAAGCCCAGCAGAATGTCCCCAGAAACCCCCCACACCTAGGGACAGGGACTGACTTGGAGGAAGCTAGGCCTTTGCCCATGAGAAAGTAGGTGTGATAAATCATAGGCTGATCACTGAAATTACCCTAGATTTCCACATGACTTGCACCAAAACCACATCATTCAAAAGCACTCGAGCTTGGCCCGCATTAAAGAACAGCTCTAAGCCGCGCACCAATAATGCAGGACTCTAGCGACAGAAGAACAGATGCTCGGAAGCTTGCCTAACCTATTTAAGAAAATGAGTCTGGAGGCCGTTTCCACCATAAGGAAGTTGTTAGAGCTAATTACCCATGACTACTATATTAAGTAAACTAGACACCCCCAATTCACTGGAATGCTGGAATTCTAGCTGATACTTAATTAGACTGCAGTTTATTTTTAGGTCCACGAATTAGTCTCTTAAATTATTTTATATGAATTTTATATTTCTAAAAATAACTTTTTCTAAAAATTTATTTATTTATGTACTTATTTATATATTTATGGAGACCCAAGGTCAATATGAGGTATCTTCTTTTCACCTCATTGCTTTTGAGACAGGGTCTCTCACTGAACCTAGAGCTCAGTGTTTCAACGAGGCTGGCTGACCATCGAGCTCCAGGGCTCCACCTCACTCCGCCCACTAGTGCTAGGTTTGCAGACTCAAATCCCCGTGCCTGTCTTCTATGTAGAGCTGGGGATCTGAACTCTGGTCCTCATGGTTGGGCAGCCGGCACTTTGTGGACTGAACCATCTCTGCAAGCCCTTCATTTACTCTTAGTCAGCATATAAAGCAGCAGATTTCACTGTGGCACATTTCATACACAGCATCATTATACTGCCTGTTACCCCCTCGGGCTGCCCTCCTCCTCTCCCCTCTCTTAAAGAACAAATCCCATGAGAAAACTATCGGAAACGTCGAATGGTGGATTTGTCCTCATTCGGGAAGATGAAGGAAAATACTATCAGATATTAATCGCCGTATTATTGAATTCAAATTTAAAAACTTCTAACCAAGATTCATTTACCTACAAAATAGTACATTTATTTGGAGATTTAAAAAGTATGCACTTTATATTATTCCTTGTAACATGGGACAAAGGTCTGCTGCACAGTTTCAAAGTCATGCCTCTTGCAAAGGTATGAGGACTTGAACCAAAGTTGTAGAAATCAGATTCTGGGAGAACCTGACCATGTTTCTAGTGCAGGGTCAGGTTGCTAAGCAGTGACCTTTTCCTTTCAAAACAGGAAATCACATTCAAGGGCAAAGAAGAAAAGAGCTTTATGACATGTATCCAAGTGTTCCCCGTTGGCCAGTCTACTTAGAAGCTTTTGACAGTCCCCAAACTGATTTCTGTGGAGTTTGGACCAGCCTTCTTCCCTCGATCTCCATCCCTGTAAGTGCACATGCTCATTAAAACATGGTCTAAAACCTGGATCTCCTTTGTTGAATTCTCGTGTGTGTGTGTGTGTGTGTGTGTGTGTGTGTGTGTGTGTGTGTGTGTGTGTAAGGGAAAAAAGGTTAACAGAATACTGTGACATGAAATTGGGAGGGATTATGTGGGGGAAGAAAGTGACTCAGCCCGAGGGAGCAGGGGCTGTGACTGCAAGGGAGGGGAAATTAGAATATAATGACACCAATGTAAGGCAGTGCCATGATGAACCTCCTCACTCTGTAGGCTAACTTGAAAACTGAATCAAGTGAGCTAGAAAAGAGGAGCTCTGGATGAGGGTCCGTTTACCTGTGGAGAAGGTGCAGGGGAAGGGAGCTGCTGGAAATCTCCCAAGCACAGCCATGGTTTACACTCAAGCCGGGGTTCCCGGATCCCACGGTCACTCCAGGAACAGGCACAGTATAGAAGAGGACTGACACATTAATGATGTCACTCTAAGGGACAGGGGAGTCTGGGGCCAGGGAGGGGACTGGGCAGCGCCTTGGCTGAAACCTGGATTTATCCACTGATGGCCCTGGTGGGACTCTCTCCCCCATTCCCAGCACCTATCAGGGGACATATCAGGAAACCCACCTGGGCAGGGGCTCTACAGACCGCAGGGACCACCAGCCAAGTGCCCTGCCATCTCTATTGCTGGGATGATCTGATTGTCCCTTCTCCTCATCCCTGGGTTGTCCACAGGGTACACAGTCAATGTTGTGATATAACAAGTAGCGTGGCGGCTTTGCAGACACCCCACAGGGCCATGGACAGCTAGGGTCTGACCATTTTGGATCCTTTCCTTGTTTGAACTTGAGGCTGTGGGTCATAAAAGATAACTCTGGGGCCTGCATGCATCATGGCTCTGGGTAGGCTCCCTGCCTGTTACCATCTTGAACAGCATGGTGGGGTGCTGGTGGCTCTGAGAGCCTCTTCTTTTCCTCAACAGGAAGTGTCACCCAAGAGCAAGAGCAGCACAGAGGACAGCAGAGCCACAAGGTCAGTGAGCTGAGGCAAGAGCACCCTTAAATGTGTGGATCCGAAGCCCCTCGAGACCTCGAGCTAACAGTCTTTTCCTTCCTTCTTGTCTTCTCTCTCTCTCTCTTGGTTTTTTGAAACAGAGTCTCACTCTATAGCTCAGGCTGGCCTAGAACTTACTGTGTAGCCCGGTCTGGCCTTAAACTCCCAGCAATCTTCCTGTCTCGGCCTTCCAAACGCTAGGATTATAAGTGTGAGCCACCACACCCAACTCTTCCCTCTTCCCCTCCTTCTTAAACAAATTTGAGTCAGTTCTGTTCCTTGAACACAGAAGCCGGCTGGCTTTCTTTCATCCCTGATGAAATGCAATTTATAATCTGGTATCAAATGATTGACACATTTTAATAAGAAAATTCATTTCTGAGGACAATTGTGGCGGTTTCGAGCTAAGTTGCTGGTCTGTTTCTGTTTTATCACCTTCAGTGAGGCAAACTGTATTTTGAGTAGTGCTTTGTTCCAGACACTCAGTTACTCACAAGCTGAAGTCCTTACATTAACTGTTCTTACCTTTAGGGAGGCCGGTGTCTTGAATGGGATACTTGTCTGACTGCAGAAACGGACAAAAGCAGAGGGTTATTTTTAAATGTCAGTTCTGAGATCAAAGTGAAAAGAGAGCTTTGTGTTGGGTTTCAGTTTAAAACCCTGGAAGAAGGCTGGGGTGTAGCTAGCTCATCGGCAGAGTGCTTGCCTGGCATGCAGAAGGCCCCAGGTTCCGTGCCCAGCGTTGCTATAGAAAGCAAAACAAAACCCTCCAGGTCTTCAGCCTCAGACTTATCGGCAGGCCTGGCTCGCTGTTTCTCTTCTGAGCTGATAGGAATGAAATCAGAGTCGACAGGTTCACGTCGGAACGTGAAACAGAGTAACCCCCCCCCCCCCAACTTCCTGGGCTCTGCCCGCTAAACCACGCTTCCTCCCTTCTGGGCTGGGCTCCTCTTCCTCTCGACTTCCTGCAGCCTTGTGCTCAGATTTTTGTCTTTGTGCATTCTGGGAGGACATGTTTCTTCTTGCCATTTCTGTGACAGCTGTTTGGGTCAACACATATGTGTTCTGGGCAATATTCACTGTTGTAGGACTCTGTCCTGGGTTTGAATCCTGGGACAGGACTCCTTGTTAGAGATTTTGAATGTTGAAAGGTGGTTAACTAAAAATAGATAGTGTTAAAGGTTGAGACCAGACAAAGACCTAGGAACATCTAAGAAGTTCACTGCTGGTACACATGAAGCAACAAGAGGCTCTAATACTACTTTGTTGCTGTTTCAGAAAAGGTCTCATGTAGCCCAGGCTGGCTTCAAGCTTGCTGTGTAGCTGAAGATGATTTTAGACTCCTGAACCTCCTGCCTCTGCCTACAGAGTGCTATGATTACAAGTGTGTATCACCTTACTCAGTTTATGTAGTACTGGGGATCAAACCCAGGGCTTCATGTGTGCTGGGCAGGCACTCTATCCACTGAGTCACATCCTGAGCACAGGATCTAACTCTGTTTTTAGCCTGGAGATGATGATGCCACAGAGGATACCATGAGAAAGAGGTGTATCTTTGGTAAACATGACTTTGGGGTTTCTGAGATTTCCTGGAAACACTTGGTGACTGCAGTGTGATGTAACAAGGCATGGAGAGTCCAAGTTGCCACCTACCATAGCAAAGGATAAAGTGCTGGGGTCTGTGTCCTCCACTGGCTCCTTTATGTGATCTGGGGAGAGACAAAGGGACAGGATTGTCTTTGAGACCAAAGCACAAATGAGGCCCTCCCTGTCATTTTCACATCTGAATGAGCTACCCTTTCCCAGCAATATAAATGCGCTGTCATCTATTCCTGCAACCCGAAGAGACCTGTGCATGGTACTTCAAGGAAGACAGCAAGGAAGAGAAACAGAAAAGCAATACCATGATGCTCAGGACTCAAAACAACCAACCAACCAACCAACCAACCAGCCAACCAACCAACCAACCAACCAACCAACCAACCAACCAACCAACACAACAGGTTATTTATGAATATGTTCAAATACTGGGAGTTACAACCAACTACAGATGACACAAACATGATCCGATTCCTGCAGGTGTGCACATGTGTGTTTAGGCCAAGGGACAACCTGAGGTGTTGTTTGTAGCAGTCATCTACCTTCTTATTTTATGAAATGAGTTCTATGAGTTTTATGACATGAAATGGGTTCTCTCACTAGCCTGGAACTCACCAAATAGGTGAGGCTGGCTGGATAGCAAGACCCACGGGTCTGCCTGTCTCTGCCTCTCTAGTGCTTAGATTGCAAGTGTGCTCTACGGCACCTGCTTTCTGTCCATTGGTTCTGGGGATCAAATTCAGGTCCCCATGTTGCAAGGCAAGCATTTACTGACTGGACTATCTCCCTAGCTACTAACAACTCTACCTGTTAGGTTGGGTGTAACTTTAAGGATTTTATACTGAATCCTGTATATTTACTTATTTCCTAGTCCCCTAGTCTCTGTAACTTGCATATATATATATATATATATATATATATATATATATATATATATATATATATATATATATATATATATATATATATATATATATAAAATTTTAGGAGGCTGGAGAGATGGCTCAGTACTTAAGAGCACTTGGGGCTCTTGTAGTTTGGTTCCCAGCACCTTCTTGAAGGTTCACAACCATTTGTTAACTCCAGTTCCAGGGGATCTGACACCCTCTTCTGACTTCTGCAGGCACCAGGCGTGCACAGGGTGAACATACACACATGCCTTTAAAACACTCATACACATAAAATTAAAAAAAAATTTTTTTTCTTAAAAAATATCACTTTAAAATATTAAGATTCTTGGGCTGGGGAGGTGGCCCAGTAGATAAGTCATTTGCCATGCAAGCATGAAGACCAGAGTTTTAATTCCCATAACCCAATGAGCCAATCAGGTATAGCTGCTGTCTGCAATCCCAGCCCCGGAGAGGCAGAGACTGGGAGAGCTGCTAACTAGACTAACTGGAACTGGCAAGTCGCAGGCTCAGCAAGAGACTATTCCCCAGTGAATAAAGGGAAGGGCTCCCCTCAGTGAATAAAGGGGAGACCCTCCCTCAGTGAATATGGGGAGACCCTCCCTCAGTGAATACGGTTGGAGAACATTGGAGGATGGTTCTCAACGTCAACCTTGGGCCTCCACATGCATACATGTGCACATGTACCTGTGCCCACACATGAAAAAAAAACATGTATACACACACAAACATACCACATACACATGGGAAAAATAGCTTGCTCCCGAGACAGACGGAAATGGTCTAGACGAAGCATACATTCACACCTGCACAAGGATTCTCCTATCATTAAAAAAAAAAAAAAATTGTATGAGGGAAAAGAAACAATTCCTGGGATTGGTGGTATGTGCCTACGATTCCAACACTTGGGAACTGAGAAAGGAGGATATGAGTTTGAGGCCAGTCTGAGCTACATAGTGAAAAAAAAGTATGAGAAAAAAGACGTAAGAGGGGGAAATGGCCGTGACGGCTGGGAAAGGCGCAATGTCTCCCACAGCGTCAGTGAGGAGCAAACAGGGATGTTAGAAGAAGAGAGCAGCAGTCAGTTGTGGCAGAGGCTGGAGCCTCACGTAACCTTGGGTAATATTGAACTTGGGGAAACCTTGAGGTGTGGCCTTGGGGGAGCCTCTAACTGCCCTCAGATGAGTCCTGAGGTGAGACGTTGCCGCCATCAGGATGGGCTTTAAGCTGCCTATGCCTGGGAATGTCCTCTGGGACATAAGATCAAATTCAGGTCCTCTGGCCCCTGGACGCCGCATGGCGGATGATCACTGGTTGGGCTAGACATGGAGGTCACGGGGGCAGCTGACCTTCTGCTCCTCAGAACCTGGCTGCCATCTGTGACATCAGAAGGCGGGTCTGCTTGAGGGCAGCAGGGCTTTTGCTGGTTTGCTTTCTGAAGCACAACAAGGTCCCAGAAAACCCAGGAAAGGCATGTTGAGAACTGGGTACAAGAGACATGCTCAAGCCTTTTTTGTTACTATGTTTTGTTTTGTTTTTGAGACAGGCCCCCATAGAGTCCAAGCCGGCCTTGAACTTTCTATGTAAGGGAGAATGGCCTTGACCTTCTGTTCCTCCGGTCCCTGCCTTCCCGGTGCTGGGATGACATGTGTTTGTCATTACTCCTGGTTTTTGAGGTGCTGAGGATGAAACTCGGGGCCTCACGTGTGCCCCGCACACACTCTCCCGGCTGAGCTACATCCTCAGACTCCACATGTCTTTTCTTTTTTTCATTCATCACACACGCTTGACTGCCCTGGCCTTTGCTGTAGACTGGGCTTTAGATTAAGCTCTTATTTGTCTGGCTGTCAAATGAGTTCACAGACCCGGGTTCACGGTGGTGCCCCACATGCCACCTCTGATCCAGTGCCTTCTGCTGGCAGCTGGTGTGGGTCAGGTTGCCCCGCCGCCGCTTTTGTTCTCACAGGCCCAGAGGTGTGTGTGCCAGGGAGGTTGTAGGGGGGAGGGCCTGTTCCTGCTTCTTTGAGACAGATCTAGAAGTCGAAAGTTTTTTTAAAAGCCTTACCTGGAGGCCTTGAAGTTGAATGTTTACAATACGATTAAGTATAAAATCAAATCATTTATCTAAAGCTTGAAAATGTTTGTTTTTACAAGCCCCAGGTATCAGCAGGTTGGGCCCACAGGCAAAGCTCCAGTGCCAGATGTGGGGCACCAAGGGGTCTGAAACAGAAACGGACGGGGTGGGGGGTGGAGTATGTGAGCCCCGAAGAGGGCAGAGTCTTCTCTGGGGTGATGGGGACATTCCCCTGGCCCCAGCTGTCACCCATTGTCTGGCCAAGTTTCCCTCCCCAGAGCTGCCTCAACCACCCCAAACAAGTTCAGATCACCTCACACCAGCTGGCAGCTGCCTGATGTGGTAACTGGTGTTCCTCCCTCACAGGCAGGCACCTTCTAGAGAGTTCTACCTGGCAAACCCATGGGGGTTCCTGACGGGGTACCAGTAGGCTCTCAGCGCCGGATTCCGGTCAGAATGAGCAGGCTAGCCCAACATTCAGAACCTCTGGACCCCATTAACCTGTAATGTTAGGAGTTATCGGGAGCCAGGTGTGATTACACACATTTCCAGCATTCTGGAAATGGAGGCAGAGGTTCGTGAGTTCAAGGCCAACTTGGACTACATAGTGAGCTACAGCCCACCCTGGGCTATCGAAAAAGCCTCTATCTCAACAAACAGTGACAACAAAAGAACACATATGTCCCCTTCCCATATCAGTCTGTGACAGTGACTATGGGCACCCCACAGTGAACGGCATCTCCAAGCTAAAAGTCCCCAGCCCTGACACCTGAAGTAACAGCTAGAATCTCTCCTTCCCTCACGCCCACTCTGCACTGCACCACACGTATGGTCTCTGAGATATCCTGACACTCGTGTTGCTTCCTCTCCTCAGATCTTGCTTGAAAGTCCCTTCCCAAGGCAGGCCATCTGACATCTGGGAGCTGTGCATCAAAAACTCTCGGAGCTACCTCATCTGAGCTTGTGTTTGAGAAGGGTCCCATATTGGAGAGGGGATGGGGAGGTCCAGGAAGATATGAGGTGAAGCCTCACTGGGGACCCTCTCAGGTTATCAGCAATAGAACAGCCTCTTTGTCAGGTCATAGTTTCTACACATGGGGTTGTTCAGGCTTTAATCCAGCCCCCACAATGAAACCTCCATATAAACTTAAAATAAAGGGTTGGGGGAGTCGGCTTAGCTGCTAGAGCACTTTCCTAGCATTCACAAAACCCTGGGTTCAATTTCTAGCATTACATAAATCCTGTGTAGTGGTGCATTACTGTAATCACAACACTCAGGAGGTGGAAGCAGGGAGATTAGGAGTTCAAGGTCATTCTATGTTGTAGTGGGTAGCCATTCCAGCTTTGATCTGGAAATTGCAACCCCCATTGAGACTTTGGCAACTGTCACGCCTACGAGGCAGGGCCAAGGGAGGCACCGGAGACCCGAGATCGGGATGGGCCAGCGCTCTCTCTGTTCCTGGACGCTGAACGTTGGAGGTGGACAGAGCAGAGCTCCAGAGAACACCGCTGGACTGAGATACACCTTCCCCAGACCCTGCGACCTACCTATCCCTTAATTTGTAAGTTACACCATTAAATAAATATCCTTTTAACTACGTGGAGTAGCCTTAATAATTTCACCAATACTATGTAGCTAGCTCGAGGACAACCTGGGCTACTTCAGATACTATCTCAATTTAAAAGGAAAAAAAAGGACTATGTTCCAGGAGCTTCTGGTCAGCTGAGCACGTGAACACCTGGGTGGTGGCACCCCGAGAGGCTACGAAGCTTCATAGCTCCATGCACCTTCCTTCCCCAGGCCTCTCTCTGAGTGTCTGTTTCTATATCTGTGTCCTTTGTAGAACCCTTCAAGGGCCGAAGGGGATGGAGAGTCCCGTGACAGGCACTTGGGTCCATCCTCAGCACCACAGAAACAAACAGAAAAACTAGGAAAGGTTAGTAAACATTTTTTCTAAGCCGTTTCGCCAAGCTTCATGGAATTCTCAGAAGCACAGGCTCTCCAACACAGACATGCAATCTTAGAAGAGGTGGCAGTCTTGGGGACAAGCCCTCAACCTGTGAGATCTTCCACCACCTCCTTGTAGTATCAGAATTAAGTTGGATGAGAAGAACCCTGGCTGGGTGT